CACTGTACTCATACTAATTAAGTAGAACGTAAGTTATGATAAAGAAGCAAGGCACCAAGCCAATTCGCCGGCAATTTATAAAGAAATTATATTAATATTCACGCAGAGTTTTATAGTAGAGTGAACACAAAGATCAGGAGGTCGTAAATGAAATGGAGTAAACTGGTCCCAAGTGAGCAATTCTCATAGGTCCCGCAGAAATGCCAAAATGTAAAAGTAATTACCAAAGCAGACACTGAAGGCAGAGAAAGGAATGAAGAGAGATGGCGAAAAAATGAATGACGCCTAAAGGGGTAAAGAAAAAGGAGAGAAGAACAGCTCGAAGAAATGTCTATCTTATAAAGTCCCTGTGGGTGAGCACTTTAAAGCTGCGAGGAAAGCGTCACTGGAGAGCAGACAGTTTTCTTTCAAGCCAATTTCCACCATTGCAAATGTGGCACTAAGTGCAGTATACAAGTAAGGAAGTGGCTGTGTGAAGTGGCTGTAAAAGAAAGAAATTGTATCGATTGAGTGCAACTCAGCACAAAAAAACTGATATTTGCGATCTGTCACAAGTGACGTGACCTCGGCCTCTTGAACTGGGTTGCAGTCCATTAAGTTGCACTGGGCCAACTAAACAATTGCTACATCGGTTACTACCTGACCCCAAGTGACCTCATTTGACACATATGGCGAGTGCCAAATTGTGCTACATGTTTATTTATTCAGTCAATTATTTATTTATTTATTTAAATGAATAAGTAGGTATGTTGCAATTAAAATCTTATTTCACTTTCCACGTGCTTATAATGTTACAAAAGGTGTGGGGGTCAACAAACTATATTCCTGTTGATAAGTACAAAGGCGTGTCCATAAAATTCAAATTTTATTTCATGAAGTTATTTAGTCCACTTCGACTGGACATCTCGTGGTCTCTTTTTCACTCTGCGAGAAGAATGATAGCCTTGACAGAGTTCAACATGATCAAGCAAATGTGGAAATTAAAAGTGTCTCAAAAATGAGACAGGTATAATTCATTTTTTATATAGAGGGTTTTTTCATTTTGGGTTATTTTTCAATATTTTGCAAGTCTAGTATCTACATGAAAAACGTGGTCGACTGTTCCATCACCGATCGCCAAAAAATAAATAAATTATACAATTTATTACTGATCATTATTCAATGAACTATTTGAAATGGCTTTCCAGTAACATTGAACTTATTCAAAAAGATTGCTAACATGTTCGTATCTTCATTAATGTTTAAATAAAATATATCAATATTTGCACCTATAAAGAAACATATATTTATTTCAAATGGCAGGCTTTATGATATTTATCATTAGCCCTTAAACTTTGACTTCAGCTTCCCCCAAGGGTGGGGGTACATTTATGGCAGTTAATTAATAGCAGTTCATTAGCCGTCTTCTTGCTTCCCAGTATCTCTGGCTTACCGTCCTAGTCTTTAGGGCTGGATATCGAATCAGGTGGGTCTTCTCCATTTCCTCCTGTAGGTTACATAGGGGGCATGTGGATTGAGTGTATACTCCCAATCTGTGAAAGTGTTTTTCCAGGCAATCGTGTCCGGTACGTAGTCTAAACTCATCAACGGCTTCGATTCTTGGCCAGTCGGGTATGTCGGAGAGTGCCACTGTCCACTGTTTCTCCTTTGTTCGAGCTTTAAGTTTTTTGGACCTTGAGGTCTTGAATTCTCTTCTGATCAAGGCCTTCATTGTGTGGAAAGACATCGGTCGGTCCATGCATTGCAAAATCGTTGTCCCCTTCTTAGCAAGTGTGTCAGCAAGCTCATTGCCTTTGATGCCACAGTGACCAGGAACCCATTGTAAAGAAACATAATCATGACATAACTTAACAAAACAAAGCATAACTTCAATTAATGATTCCTAAGCGAGTTCATTGCATTTACTTCTATAGTTGATATTATATTATTGATTATTCCTAAATAATAGTAAAAATTAGATTGCTTTATGTTAGCTAATAGCTTATCGAGTACAATTCACTCTACCACAATAGGAGTTTCAAATAATTTGTACACGTTGACACATACTATTGGTGTGTCTCAACCATCTACTGGTTGGTCAACAGGCAACCGAAGAAGGCAAAGAAGTCAACTTCTAATTTGATCGCTGCGTTGAATGGACATTGTACTCTCTCTCTCCTTCTCCTCGCTTCCACCTTTGCACTTGCACAATGCACTAATTACAGTATTTCTCTCAATATAAGTGGTTTGGATGAGTTTCACATAGCTTTTTCCTCGGATTGATTGTTCGGTGCAATCGTCTCCTACACACGTTTGCAATGATATTGTGTCCACCTTTAACACCACCACCTCCACCACCACTACCACCACCAACACCACCAGCTTCTCCACATCCACCTCCAATGTCCCACTACATTCCTCTTCACAAACCAAACAATTCTTACACGTACGCACACTGCCACAACTCGCCCATCTCTCTCTCATCTCCCTCCTCTTTCACCTCACCCAGACCTCCATCATCATCTCACAAAAAAACATCTCAACGCCCCACGTGAGTGCATCCGCACACACCTCCTACCCAGCCCGCCAATCCTCCATCATCTCCCACATCACCGCCATCACCGCCATCTACTCTACCTCCTCCCTCTCCTCTCTCTCCTCTCTCTCCATCTCCGAGGAAACACACCTAGTCATGCCCATAATCACCACTAAGAGGCTCATCAGTAGCACCAAGCGCCATACACACTGCGCAGCTTGCTCGCCATCTCAAAGTTCATTCTAAAGAACACCAACTTGGATCCCCAAACAGATCCAAGTGCATCCCAGGCGACAGCACCTCTACAACCAATGAGAACCCTCTGGTGTGTGAATTGAGTAGTGACAATGCCATTGCGCCATCCAATCTCATTGACCACACGAAGCACAGGATTGCTCTTCCACATACGCCTCCTCCGTCCCTTCCTCAAGCACCACACAATCACCCTCGCCCTCTTCACACTACCACTCCTCCAACTACTCATCATCCTCATCCCCATCCTCAACCTCCTCCTCCACCTCCTACTGCTCTTCTTTCTGCTTCTGCTACCACCACCGACATTAGCACCGCGCCCACTTTAGGGACACATTTCCAATTACCACATGCTGCTGTGACATCTCGATTCGCTCCACCTCATTCCACATTCACTTACAAAAATAGCATGGCTTCCGTGGCTCCACCTCTCTCCGCTTCCACTCCAGCCAAGTTCTCCGTTTGCCCATCCCTCGGCATAGCCCTCTCACACCATTTTTCATCCTCCTTACACTTCGCAACCAACTCTCATTCTCCTCCTTCTAGTCCTTCTCCCATCCCCCCACCAACATCTCCACTTTCATTTCCACCTACACCTCGTCTTTCTCATTCCCATGCTCATGTCCATGTTAGGACTAATTCTGCAATGATACACAGAAGCCTCCTCTCATCCACTCCCTATATCACACGTGCAACATCCACACGAAAATCCACCCCTTCCCTCGCCATCACCACCACCACCACCATTAATATCATTGCCCAAACAACCCAGCACAATCATCAGCACCACCTCTACCGACTGCGTCAAAAGCACACCCAACACCGGCGGCACCAGTCTCATCCACTTCGTCAAATCCAACAACCACATTATCCTCCACAATCATTTACTCCACTCAAAACTTCAACTCCTCGACGTCCGATTCCACTTACTACTCCACAACCACAACCACAACTGCAACCGTAACCGCAACCACACCTTCCTCTTTCTTCTCACCACCCTCGCCACCCTCACCACCCACACCACTCCCATCACAATTCCAATTCCTAAATCAGAATGTAAAATAAATCCACAATTTCACCTACTTCTCATCTCACATCTTCCAACACATTTTGTTCTCAATCCGCTCCCTCTCAGGTCCCTTTTAACTTTTTCAAAGCCCCTTCATTATAAAGCCATTTCCGCATGCATGCATGCACGCACTCGAACGCATACACACATACACATATACACCTTACTCATGCAACGAGCAACATTTCATTCAACTAATACAAATCCACGATGACCAAGTCATTCATATCTTATACACAGTTCCATCCAGATGTCCAAAATCAAAATTAAACAATGTCAAGAATTCCACTCACTTCACATCTCACCACATTCATCACAACCGACAGTTGATTTCTCACTTCTAACTACCAAGACCACACTGTATGTCAAATTCAACCACTTAACTCTACTCATCCTACCTTTACTCTACCTTTGTGTCTGTTTGTCCGTCTATCTCTCTATTCCCCTTACATCTCTGAATTACTCTTCTCACCCTCCTCTCGAATGTTTCACACGTTGATGTTCCTCCCCTCTACGAAATCTGAAGCCAGCTAAACGGCCATTGATAACTATCAAAACGCCTGCCATTTAAAATAAATAAATAACTTAATAAATAGATAAATAAACATTCATCACAATTCGCGCCTTTTATCTTTTTCAACAAAATTCGATAATCAAGCCATTTTCACATTCAAGCACACAGCTCATAGACACAAAGTGCTACATTTCGGTCTACTTATACAAATCCACGATGAAGAGGTCCTTGAGTCTCGTTTACAGTGTTCCGTCCAGATGTGCCTACACAAAAGGCAAAATAAATCAAGAATTTCCCCTTGCCTCAAATCTCACTTCTTTCGACACTTTCGCTCGTATAATATGTTCATTTTCGTTCTATTTCATCATCTCTAATAGAATTCATCTTTTCAGACACTTAAACCAATTGCAATATATTCACTGTCTATTATATCTACTGTCGTCCTAGCAGTTCCTCATGTATATATTCAAAAGTAGGGGTGTATAATATGTTTCTCCATTTTTCATTCTTTTGTGAATAGTCCCATGCCAATCGTCACGTTCATTTCTTTGCTATTTCGATATAAATTGCATGGCCTTCCATTTGTCTGTATGAATGCTTTGAAATGAGGATACGTAATTAATTGGAGCTTGACTTTCATTCGATCACCGCATTGCAAAAATTACACCTCCCACCACGTTTAGATGCTAGTGGAAATACGCCTACTTATTTTAAGCATTAGTATATTAATACGCTTGAATAATAACGGTCAATTATTGTCCATAGCAATAGCCATTGACTAGAACTAATAATTCCATAAAGGAAATAGAATTACCCCATGAATGAAGAAAAATTGAAATCGATTTTAGAATAGACCATAAAGATTAAGCAAAACCAAATTTGATTTTGATTGAATAAAATCGAAACGTTGCATTACTCTTTACACGAAGTGCGCCAAATCATGGAATAAATCGGTAGTAAATGTGAATCAGTGCTGAAATGCATACGAAAATGGCACCCAGGATTAGGTACTTGAGGAATACATGAGTATTAGTGATGGTAAGTAGAACAGGACGAAATGTGCTTGTTAATGATGACACTTTATCACATAGACAAGGAACTCATTCTAGGAACCATTTCAAATGCTAAGAAATATTTTCACTTGAGGAAGATTGCAAAAGTAATCATCGGTCACAAATATCGTAGGAAAATTATTGTAAACAACTCATTGAGGATAAGGGCGATGATTTATTAACGCCTGGCCGAGAAGTAGCTCGTGTCACTTGCTGTCAATCAAATATAGATGATTGCTTTTCTACTTAATTCTAACCCTGCTGGAAATCAGGTAATTACTCGACAGCAGGTGGGTACTAAACAAAAGTGGCGAAATGAGAACGACGCCTTGATTTAAATCAACACGAAAGGCGTAACACACGTTCCAGATTGGTAAATCAGTTTGGGTGGTCAATATTAGACTATCATGAAGCCAGGTGACGCAACCTTTTGCAAAATATGAATCCGGTGAATCGAAAGGTGTGAACTAGATGCAAATAATGTAAGTTAAGAGGAATGGGAGCAATTGCTCAAAGGACACCCAGGTAGAAACAATTTGATTACTTCCTATGTTGATTATGTGAGTACTAACATGGATTATAAGAATTGAACGTGTTTCAGCATTTTTGAATGAAAAATACATTTCGAAGTGAATTAAAACAATTGACTCCAATTCCATGAGCTGTCTCAACAAGAATTGTTCAATTTAAAGTCACAACTATGATTAAATTATAGCCTGCTAAATGTTTTTTAATTTTTGAAGTCCCTTGAAATATTTGAAGGAGTAAGTGGAATACTCTTTGCTTGCTGGAACATTTACTTTTATAACGAAAACGTTTCGCTTTTTTGAAATATTTTGTTAAATATTGTTTCGTTCATTAATTCGTAACTTAATTTCTGAAGTCAAATATTTCATTTAAATGCATTGATGAAGCCACACTTTGTGCATTCTCATAGTTGAATGGAAAGGCAAATTTGAATTAACAAAGTCGATTCATTGGTCTTGTGAGTCTCGATGCATTATTCAGAGTTTGTAAATAAAATCCCTCATACAATCCATGTGAGGTGGGGAAATCAAAATTAAGCTAAATCAAGAATTCAACTCACTTTACATCTCACCACATTCATCACAAGGGGTGTGCGATAGACTTACCTCCACGTGGTGCAACCTGGGCAATGTATGCCCATACGGCAAAAAAGTCTATAAACCGGCAGTTGATTTCTCACTTCTAACTACCAAGACACCACTGTATGCCAAATTCAATCACTTAAACAGTACTCATCTTACCTTATCTCTACTTTTCTGTCTCTCTGTCTGTCTGTCTGCCACTCTTACATCTGTGAATCACTCTTCTCCCCACTCTGTGAAGTAGGCTAAAATGATAATGATAATTATAAAGACCACTGTCATTTGAAATAAATAAATCACTAAAAAATAATTAATAAACTAAATAAATAGCTAAATAAACAATTAGCACAAAATACAGATTTGGATCACATTACTTTGCATCCATGTGGGTAAATTTCACCAGTTCGAGTGAGACTTTCATTAATAACATTGTATTGAATTATACTAAGTAAGTGTAATGCGGCCAGATAATTTAATGAATTGGAAATATCAACTATGTATTAGGCACAAATTTAAATTGATTGTAAATTTGGGTCCGCTGTTTATTCATGTGAATACTGCAACAGAGAATGAGTAAGTTAGCAGCAATGAGTGCGAAACCACCACCTGAGGAAGGGGATGTGTACAGAAGTGCGAGAAGATAGTCGAATATGAAGATGCCTTCTGCTAATGTCATGTTTCCTTTCGTTTAACATGAAATATATATATAAAATTTAATTTGATGCAAGTGAATTCACCTTCTATCCAGCAATCATCACCTAACAGAAATCTTAGCAATTAAAATAATTAGCCATTTTGAGCGCTGACATTGTTGGGATTCAAAGAGTTTCAATTTTCTACACTTCTGCAACTTTGAAAGTAAAGTAATTAATGATATTTCGTCTTGTAAAAGATTAAATGCATTATTCAGTAAGTGTTCATTTTCAGGGCATTTGTTTCATATTCACATGAATCAAGCTTAACAAGCAAACGCTTACTCATCGAAGAAAATATTATTTCAATAGTCATGGAAAAAATCGTCAATAGCATATTTCTCAACTGAATATATTTGCTATTTACAAAGATAAAGCTCCTTTATTAATTAAAGATATTTTCTTCTAATGCGAAACTGAACATGGACTCGCAAGTTTTTCTTGTTTCCATTTCCTCATTTAAGAGGTGGGCGGTAGACTTAACTCCACGAGGTACGTCAGTGACCACGTATACTCATACCTCATAAAAGTCGATAAACCGGCAGTTGGCTTCTCACTTCAAGCTACCATGACCCCACTTTATATCATATCCCACCACTACCCCAGTTCCCATCATTAATTTTCTCCGCCTTTGTGTCTCTCTGTCTCTTTTACATTTGTGAATCACTCTACAGTTCCCCTTCTCGAATTCTTCCCACTTTGATGTCCCATAATTTTGAATTACTTGAGTGAATGCTATCAAAGATTGAATATGCTTTTAAGAAATAGTTTGTAATCTTACTGCTTTTGAAGTTTATTTTCATGATGTTTGTGCAATATTATTGGTTTCCTCTAAACGAATCGAGAAATTCATTATTGGTCATTTGGGCAAAATATTCTCTGCACGATTAAATGTGACTGTACATCCAACCTTGCCTTAAGTAGCTCCTGATCGTGTTAAATTTCCAAATAAATTGAGCATTCCTTTTAGGTTGTAGTGGATTGCTACACTAATAAAGCTTGACTGACAGCTTCTCATTTATCTTACTAGATTCCACGAAGTAGCTAAGCTACAGCCAGGCTATAGAGGGAACAGACGTATCACACGGAACACGTTTGTTTAGGAAGTAATTTTTGGCAAAAGTGTACATGCCGTTAGGTTAGTCAAAATCGAAATGGTGGTTCCACTTGAGAGCGATCGAAGGCATTTGTTTGGCCATTGGTTGTGTGCGCATGCGATCACGTGTTAGGCGATGACGTGTCCCACAAGATGACCAAATTTGGCTCTACTTCGTTTAGAATTGGCTTAAAAATTTCAAGTAATGTTTTTAACGTCAATCGAGCTTTCTTCTCTTCGTACCACGTTCCGGAATCCACCTTTCAAAATTCTCCAATTTCGATTTTTAGATCGTTGTCTTTTCAATTTCTAGGTTCAACATATCGTAAAATGACAAATCAGCGTTAAATAATAATTGTGAGAAAAATGCCTTAAACTAATGCTCTTCAATTATCATTATCTGTTTGTTAAGAAAATGACTTTGATGAGTTA